GTTCTCCGAAGCCGGAGGGCGCAGGAGGCGAGCGGGGAAGGCCTCATCCATGGCTGCAGCCATGGAGGGGGCCTCCCGGTCCCCTCTCGCGTCCTCTGAAGCCGGAGGGCGCAGGAGGCGAGCGGGGAAGGCCTCATCCATGGCTGCAGCCATGGAGGGGGCCTCCCGGTCCCCTCTCGCGTTCTCTGAAGCCGGAGGGCGCAGGAGGCGAGCGGGGAAGGCCTCATCCATGGCTGCAGCTATGGAGGGGGCCTCCCGGTCGCCTCTCGCGTCCTCTGAAGCCGGAGGGCGCAGGAGGCGAGCGGGGAAGGCCTCATCCATGGCTGCAGCCATGGAGGGGGCCTCCCGGTCCCCTCTCGCGTCCTCTGAAGCCGGAGGGCGCAGGAGGCGAGCGGGGAAGGCCTCATCCATGGCTGCAGCCATGGAGGGGGCCTCCCGGTCCCCTCTCGCGTTCTCCGAAGCCGGAGGGCGCAGGAGGCGAGCGGGGAAGGCCTCATCCATGGCTGCAGCCATGGAGGGGGCCTCCCGGTCCCCTCTCGCGTCCTCTGAAGCCGGAGGGCGCAGGAGGCGAGCGGGGAAGGCCTCATCCATGGCTGCAGCCATGGAGGGGGTCTCCCGGTCCCCTCTCGCGTTCTCTGAAGCCGGAGGGCGCAGGAGGCGAGCGGGGAAGGCCTCATCCATGGCTGCAGCCATGGAGGGGGCCTCCCGGTCCCCTCTCGCGTCTTCTGAAGCCGGAGGGCGCAGGAGGCGAGCGGGGAAGGCCTCATCCATGGCTGCAGCCATGGAGGGGGCCTCCCGGTCCCCTCTCGCGTCTCTGAAGCCGGAGGGCGCAGGAGGCGAGCGGGGAATGCCTCATCCATGGCTGCAGCCATGGAGGGGGTCTCCCGGTCCCCTCTCGCGTTCTCTGAAGCCGGAGGGCGCAGGAGGCGAGCGGGGAAGGCCTCATCCATGGCTGCAGCTATGGAGGGGGCCTCCCGGTCCCCTCTCGCGTCCCCTGAAGCCGGAGGGCGCAGGAGGCGAGCGGGGAAGGCCTCATCCATGGCTGCAGCCATGGAGGGGGCCTCCCGGTCCCCTCTCGCGTCCTCTGAAGCCGGAGGGCGCAGGAGGCGAGCGGGGAAGGCCTCATCCATGGCTGCAGCCATGGAGGGGGCCTCCCGGTCCCCTCTCGCGTCCTCTGAAGCCGGAGGGCGCAGGAGGCGAGCGGGGAATGCCTCATCCATGGCTGCAGCCATGGAGGGGGTCTCCCGGTCCCCTCTCGCGTTCTCTGAAGCCGGAGGGCGCAGGAGGCGAGCGGGGAATGCCTCATCCATGGCTGCAGCCATGGAGGGGGTCTCCCGGTCCCCTCTCGCGTTCTCTGAAGCCGGAGGGCGCAGGAGGCGAGCGGGGAAGGCCTCATCCATGGCTGCAGCCATGCAGGGGGCCTCCCGGTCCCCTCTCGCGTCCTCCGAAGGCGGAGGGCGCAGGAGGCGAGCGGGGAAGGCCTCTTCCATGGCTGCAGCCATGGAGGGGGCCTCCCGGTCCCATCTCGCGTTCTCCGAAGCTGGAGGGCGCAGGAGGCGAGCGGGGCAGGCCTCTTCCATGGCTGCAGCCATGGAGGGGGTCTCCCGGTCTCCTCTTGCGTTCTCCGAAGCCGCAGGGCGCAGGAGACGAGCGGAGAAGGCCTCCTCCATGGCTGCAGCCATGGAGGGGGTCTCCCAGTCGCCTCTCGCGTCCTCTGAAGCCGGAGGGCGCAGGAGGCGAGCGGGGAAGGCCTCATCCATGGCTGCAGCCATGGAGGGGGCCTCCCGGTCCCCTCTCGCGTCCTCTGAAGCCGGAGGGCGCAGGAGGCGAGCGGGGAAGGCCTCATCCATGGCTGCAGCCATGGAGGGGGCCTCCCGGTCCCCTCTCGCGTCCTCCGAAGCCGGAGGGCGCAGGATGCGAGCGGGGAAGGCCTCATCCATGGCTGCAGCCATGGAGGGGGACTCCCGGTCGCCTCTCGCGTCCTCTGAAGCCGGAGGGCGGAGGAGGCGAGCGGGGGAGGCCTCCTCCATGGCTGCAGGCATGGAGGGGGTCTCCCGGTCCCGTCTCGCGTTCTCCGAAGCCGAGGGCGCAGGATGCGAGCGGGGAAGGCCTCATCGGGCGCCTCCCGGTCCCCTCTCGCGTTCTCTGAAGCCGGAGGGCGCAGGAGGCGAGCGGGGAAGGCCTCATCCATGGCTGCAGCCATGGAGGGCGCCTACCGGTCCCCTCTCGCGTCCTCCGAAGTCGGAGGGCTGCAGCAGGCGAGCGGGGAAGGCCTCATCCATGGCTGCAGCCATGGAGGGGCCTCCCGGTCGCCTCTCGCGTCCTCTGAAGCTGGAGGGCGCAGGAGGCGAGCGGGGAAGGCCTCATCCATGGCTGCAGCCATGGAGGGCGCCTCCCGGACCCCTCTCGCGTTCTCTGAAGCAGGAGGGCGCAGGAGGCGAGCGGGGAAGGCCTCCTCCATGGCTGCAGCCATGGAGGGGGCCTCCCGGTCCCCTCTCGCGTTCTCTGAAGCCGGAGGGCGCAGGAGGCGAGCGGGGAAGGCCTCATCCATGGCTGCAGCCATGGAGGGGGCCTCCCGGTCCCATCTCGCGTTCTCCGAAGCTGGAGGGCGCAGGAGGCGAGCGGGGAAGGCCTCATCCATGGCTGCAGCCATGGAGGGGGCCTCCCGGTCCCCTCTCGCGTCCTCCGAAGGCGGAGGGCGCAGGAGGCGAGCGGGGAAGGCCTCTTCCATGGCTGCAGCCATGGAGGGGGCCTCCCAGTCGCCTCTCGCGTCCTCTGAAGCCGGAGGGCTCAGGAGGCGAGCGGGGAAGGCCTCATCCATGGCTGCAGCCATGGAGGGCGCCTCCCGGTCCCCTCTCGCGTCCTCTGAAGCCGGAGGGCGCAGGAGGCGAGCGGGGAAGGCCTCATCCATGGCTGCAGCCATGGAGGGGGCCTCCTGGTCCCCTCTCGCGTCCTCTGAAGCCGGAGGGCGCAGGAGGCGAGCGGGGAAGGCCTCTTCCATGGCTGCAGCCATGGAGGGGGCCTCCCAGTCGCCTCTCGCGTCCTCCGAAGCTGGAGGGCGCAGGAGGCGAGCGGGGAAGGCCTCCTCGATGGCTGCAGGCATGGAGGGGATCTCCCGGTCTCCTCTCGCGTTCTCCGAAGTCGCAGGGCGCAGGAGGCGATCGGGAGAGGCCTCATCCATGGTTGCAGCCATGGAGGGGGTCTCCCGGTCGCCTCTCGCGTCCTCTGAAGCCGGAGGGCGCAGGAGACGAGCGGAGAAGGCCTCCTCCATGGCTGCAGCCATGGAGGGGGTCTCCCAGTCGCCTCTCGCGTCCTCTGAAGCCGGAGGGCGCAGGAGGCGAGCAGGGAAGGCCTCATCCATGGCTGCAGCCATGGAGGGCGCCTCCCGGTCCCCTCTCGCGTCTCTGAAGCCGGAGGGCGCAGGAGGCGAGCGGGGAAGGCCTCATCCATGGCTGCAGCCATGGAGGGGGCCTCCCGGTCCGCCTCTCGCGTCCTCTGAAGCCGGAGGGCGGAGGAGGCGAGCGGGGGAGGCCTCCTCCATGGCTGCAGGCATGGAGGGGGTCTCCCGGTCCCGTCTCGCGTTCTCCGAAGCCGAGGGCGCAGGATGCGAGCGGGGAAGGCCTCATCGGGCGCCTCCCGGTCCCCTCTCGCGTTCTCTGAAGCCGGAGGGCGCAGGAGGCGAGCGGGGAAGGCCTCATCCATGGCTGCAGCCATGGAGGGCACCCACCGGTCCCCTCTCGCGTCCTCCGAAGCCGGAGGGCTGCAGGAGGCGAGCGGGGAAGGCCTCATCCATGGCTGCAGCCATGGAGGGGGCCTCCCGGTCGCCTCTCGCGTCCTCTGAAGCCGGAGGGCGCAGGAGGCGAGCGGGGAAGGCCTCATCCATGGCTGCAGCCATGGAGGGCGCCTCCCGGTCCCCTCTCGCGTTCTCTGAAGCCGGAGGGCGCAGGAGGCGAGCGGGGAAGGCCTCCTCCATGGCTGCAGCCATGGAGGGGGCCTCCCGGTCCCCTCTCGCGTTCTCTGAAGCCGGAGGGCGCAGGGGGCGAGCGGGGGAGGCCTCATCAGGGCGCCTCCCGGTCCCCTCTCGCGTTCTCTGAAGACGGAGGGCGCAGGAGGCGAGCGGGGAAGGCCTCATCCATGGCTGCAGCCATGGAGGGGGCCTCCCGGTCCCCTCTCGCGTTCTCTGAAGCCGGAGGGCGCAGGAGGCGAGCGGGGAAGGCCTCATCCATGGCTGCAGCCATGGAGGGGGCCTCCCGGTCCCCTCTCGCGTTCTCTGAAGCCGGAGGGCGCAGGAGGCGAGCGGGGAGGCCTCATCCATGGCTGCAGCCATGGAGGGGCCTCCCGGTCCCCTCTCGCGTCCTCCGAAGCCGGAGGGCGCAGGAGGCGGGCGGGGAAGGCCTCATCCATGGCTGCAGCCATGGAGGGGGCCTCCCGGTCGCCTCCCGCGTCCTCCGACGCCCCTTCCACTCTGACTACACCCATCCCCACCCCCCCCCCTCCCCCCCCACCACCCCCCCCCCCATGCATGCCTGCAGCCATGGAGGCGGCCTCCCCCTCTCGCCTCCTGCGCCCCGGCTTCGGAGGACGCGAGAGGGGACTGGGAGAAGCCCCCTCCATGGCTGCAGCCATGGAGGGGGTCTCCGGTCCCCTCTCGCGTCCTCTGAAGCCGGAGGGCGCAGGAGGCGAGCGGGGAAGGCCTCATCCATGGCTGCAGCCATGGAGGGGGTCTCCCGGTCCCCTCTCGCGTCCTCTGAAGCCGGAGGGCGCAGGAGGCGAGCGGGGAAGGCCTCATCCATGGCTGCAGCCATGAAGGGGGCCTCCCGGTCGCCTCTCGCGTCCTCTCGCGTCCTCCGAAATTGTGGGTGCTGAAGTCCAAAACTACTGGAGGAGCAATGTTTCAGAAACACTGGCCTAGGGCCCTTCCACACTGCCCTTTATGCCAGGTTTCGGCCCCAGATTATTTGCTTTAAACTAAAATATATGCCAGATACTTATTTACTTACTTAGGCGATCCCTCGTTAGACGAGTAAGATGGTCTTCCTTGATGACTATTTTTGTGGGTTTGTAGGTGGCTGTGGAGCCCTATTCTTGACCCGCATCTTCTCCCACAGTGAAGGCATTGGTTTCCAGGTGGAAGGCGGTCCTGGTCGTGGTTGGCTTGACGCGCCTTCCTCCTGGCACATTTCTCTCTTTCACCCTCCACTCATGCCTCCTAGAATTCTGCAGCACTGCTGGTCACAGCTGACCTCCAGCTGCCAGATAACCTGGGATCAGATGGGATATAGGAACAGTGTGAAAAGGCCTTTTGAGAGTCTGCTTTCCAAGCTAAATCATTTCCTCAGTATCTCCATCATTCATCCAATTGAAAATAATAGGATTTGTTATTATTCATGTGAAGTCTGGGACTATATTCCCCGTAGATATAAGGCTCATATTCTACCCTACCTTTCTCCAACTATGGCAGGCTGATGCAGATTAAAACAAAACAGGGTTTAAAAATCATTATAATAAACAACCAAATAATAATACAATGTTATCCATTAAAAACCATAACAATTTTAAAACTATTTAAAAGCATTTACAACAGAATAAGAATTTTAAAAAGACCAAAGATCTTTCCCACAGTGACCCATTCATAGGCTAAGAAGAAGAAGAAGAACAAAAAGAACAACAACAACGCCTGTCATCTGCTGATGAAATGAGGACAGAGAGGGGCGAGTCTAGCCTTCCTTGGGTAGGAATTCTGCAGAATGGGAGGGGACACCAAGAAGGCCTTTCACATTTTTTAAAATTGTGATGTTGTGACCCCATACTTGCCTGGGACTGTGGTGGAACCACACAAAAGGTCTTCTCTGAGGACCTAAAATTCAAGCAGTCATATAGTGTGTTTCATATAGTCTGTTTCAGGGTTTCTTAACCAGGGTTCCCTCCAGCTGTAGGTTTCTGAGAGGTCAGTTGGGTTTTGATATTTGGGGGCGGGGAAGAGACACATTTGTTGAATTGTAGATTTGTGGGGGGGGGGTGCACATTTGTTGAGTTCTGTGTGTTCCTGAACACCTGAAAATTATTTGAAGTGTTCCTACATGTGAAATGGTCGATAAGTGACAGTTAAGAACCAGTACTCTCAACTGTGCCCAGAAATAGAAAATGTTCTCTAGTGTCCACAAGTGGCCAATGTAAATATTGCACCCTGGAAATTCTGGTAAAAATGCAAAAAGCGTAAGAGGAACCCATCCCCAATGTATCAGGAGATGGTCACCCATGTGAGCCTTCCTTCTCCCCATCAATCAGACTGAATCAGCACACATATCCAATAAAGAGTAACAACCAGAGCAGTTACCACCATGGCGGATATACATAAAATGGTAATTTCATCCCAGCTCATTGCTACAAAAGTGAGTAATTATGAAAAATGAATTACTGCTTAGCTCTTATTTATATGTTTGAGCACTGGTCTCCAGAATCATAGTTCATCAATATGTATGGATTGGGCTGTGACACAGCTAGTCAGTAGCCAGCTGCATTAAAGCCCTAGGTAATTTTCAATGGTAAGCAAAGAGGAAAAGACCATAATGATCAATCCCCTTGTTGTGCCATCTTTACAAAGTTCCGGAGAGACTTGTTTTGCATAGAATTATGGAAAAAATAGACCCATGCATGATTCCACAGCAAGCTGGCTTCAGGAAAGGCAAAAGCTACACATCACAAGTGTTGAACCTGACTCAGCACATAGAAGATGGTATTGAAAGGCAGCAGATCACAGGAGCTGCCTTCATAAACCTGTCAGCAACTTATGACACTGTAAATCATCACCTTCTCCTGAAAAACTTATCACAAAGGACTACCACCTCACTCGTTTAATAGGAAATCTGCTACAAAACAGAAGCTTTTTGTTGAATTCCAGGCCAGAGAAGCAGATGGAGAAAACAGAGGAATGGCCTGCCTCAGGAGAGTGTGCTTGCTCCATCAATGTTTAACATTTACACAAATGATCAGCCAGTGCCAGTGCCCCCCCACACACACGCAACACCACGCCCCCTCACTCCCCCGCCACACACACACACATGCAACACCACGCCCCCTCACTCCCCTGCCAGAAGGGAGGCAGCGGAGGGAGTCAAGCCCCAGGCCAATGCGGCCCCGTCTCCGTGTAGCCTTCAAGAGGGAGAGGGAGGCAGAGAAAGGTTGCGACTCGCAACTGTGGAGGGGCATTTACAGAGGCGCCTCTGCGCCCCTGGCAAAAAAAAGTGTACTGCAACCGCTTACTTAGCATAATGGACAAACCGGCCCTGATTAAAGCACTACTAACTGAGAGGTCATGAGTTCAAAGCCAGCTCGGGTTGGAGAAAGCTCCTGACCATTAATAGTCTAGCTTGCTGTTGACCTATGCAGCCCAAAAGACAGTTGCATCTGTCAAGTAGAAATTTAGGTACTGCTTTATGCAGGGAAGCTAATTTAACTAATTTACGACACCATAAAACCTTCCAGTAGCATGCATAAGAATGAGGAAGTAATTCATCAAGGACTCTGTGTCACAAGTGGACGGTGAAGCAACAGCTCCCTCTGTGGCCGGAATCAAGCATACCCTCATGAAGCCAGAAAGCTGGAATGTTAAATTGGCTCTGTGACTGTCTATATATGTTGTATGTTTGCCATGAATATGTGCATTATAATCTTCCCTGAGTCCCCTGCAGGGTGTAAATAAATAAATATTGACTATGACTCTTTGAAAAACATTTAAAGAGTATTGTCGAAGGCTTTCATGGCTGGAATCACTAGGTTCTTGTGGGTTTTTTCGGGCTATAGAGCCATGTTCTAGAGGCATTTCTCCTGACGTTTCGCCTGCATCTATGGCAAGCTTCCTCAGAGGTTGTGAGGTCTGACCTCACAACCTCTGAGGAAGCTTGCCATAGATGCAGGCGAAACGTCAGGAGAAATGCCTCTAGAACATGGCTCTATAGCCCGAAAAAACCCACAAGAACCTATTTAAAGAGTAGCTTCAGGGACAGACTGTCAGGATCCATACCATGGTCATGCCCTTTTTATTAAAAAGTAAGCTGTCGTGAGTCCCTCTTTGGAGGTGAGAAGGAGGGGAAATAAATAAATAAATAAATAAATAAATAAATAAATAAGTAAAAGTAACTTTCTAAGCTCAGGTCATGGTACCAGCAGTGATCCACTGGCCCCTCAGCTGCTATCTCAAATGTAATCATTTGTGTATTGGGGCCCTATATCCCAAGATATGATCCCAGATTTTCTACTTTAAAATGGATTATATGAATCTGCACTGCCAGATAATCTGGGATAAACAGAAAACCTAGGATCAGATCCTGGGATATAGGGCCTGGTTGGAAGGACCCTAAGAGGACAGAAGCCAAGCCTAGATCATACAGTTGGTTTCTCTACTAGTGATCTATTGCTGAAAAGCAATCTATGCATTTCAGCAAAGGGAACTAAATGGGATCAGCTAAGAGAGAGAAAGTACACAACCAAAGAAAGGAGCTGAGTGGGCTCTGGGCCTATTAACAGTACACAAATATACAATAGTGTTATTTGTTGTTGTTTGCTGCCCTCAAGCCAGCTTTGAATTATGACAACTATATAAAAAAGAGACCTCCAAGTTATGCACAACCTTGCTTAGGTCATGCAGACACTATCTCATCAGATGGGGGAAATTGCCCATTTACAATATACCTTTTTCACTTTTATTACGGAGCCCGCCAACTCCTATCCAATGACATAGATCTACTTCTGGTAGGAGCTCCATGGCACAAGTCATAAGTCACCACTGCAGCAACATAGGAAGCTTCCCGTGTTGCATAGGTAACAGGAGAAGCCAGCAGTGGATGCTTCCCCCCATGGAATGGGGTGAGGGAAAGACGGACAATGTGGAGTGATGGGTTGCCCATGCACCCCGCCAGGCTCCTCCAGATTCGCCACAATGTGTGGTAAATCCTGGCTTTAATGTGATGAGGTCTTCAGAGCCATGGTTCCACTGGCTGAGTCTACCCATCCCTTTTAGGGAGAATTCAAACTTGATTTGCTTTAAGACCCATTTATTTGTATCCTTAGCACAGTATCCTCAAAACTCTCTCCTAGTGCCACATTTCAAATGAACTCGTGTTCTTTTCTTTAGCTTCCTTCCCTGTCCAGTTTTCACAACTACAATGGTGTAGTAGTTTTCAGTAATGGACTATGATTCTGGAGATCAGAGCTCTAATCCTCACTCAGTCATGGAAACTCATTGGGAAACATTGGCCAAGTTATATTCTCTCCATCTTGGGGGGGAGGCAAAGGACTCCATCCCCCTACCTCCAAGAGATCTTACCAAGGATAGGATCAGTATAGGTTGGAAACAAATTGATGGGAAATAAAAAATAGCACTTGATCTGACTTCAACTGCCATGGCAACATCCTATGGTATCTTTATGCTTCTAGTCCAACAAGTCATCAAACATCTCTGGCAGAGTATTCTAAATGCCCTTCCCTAAGCCGCCAATTCTAGAATTCTAAGGGATGTTGCCATGGCAATTACAATGGAATATAGCACTACAATTATGTTGTAAGAATGGATCAAGAGAGAGATCAACTAAGGAAGATATCCAAGGCAAGTCAAGCAACACAATCCATTGCCAAGCTATGAGATTCTTAAAACTGCAATTAAAAAAAGAAAAGGCAAACGTTTCCAAACTTTGATTAAACTTAATAGAAGAACAATGGGATGGGTGGGTAAATAATACGAGTCTGCCATTTGGAAGAAATCCTATATATTTTTAATATGTAGCTCTCCCAAGTCTTACTCTGTTAGTCCCTTTCAAAAAGGATTTTTAAAAGGACATCTATTTATTTTAATTTGAGATTCAGAAGTCTGCATGAAACAGTTGCTCTTTCATCTGAAACAACAACAGCAACAAATGATCCGTTAACTCTGACACCGTTCTTGGTATGCATTTTGTTACGGAGGCATTACAATGTGGTATGAATCATTTAGTCATTATGTGACTTACCCCAGACTTCATATTTTTCATTATTATTAATATTTAGTGTCTTTCAGAAAATTAAGGGTCCGACTTAACTAAGGTTAAAAAGCTGATGACACCATGCACTGAAGATTGCAAATGTATATTAACGAAACTTGGTAGGTTTTGGCTTCAGCTTCCCTCTTTTTAGTAATCAGTCATTGAACTGTGCTAAACATCTATCAAGCTTTCAGCTTCTTTTTTACCCAGCCTTCCGACATTTCATTAATAAGGTGACTTGATTA